GAGTACCGAATCAGATCGAGCTTTTTTCTGGTCTCAGACATAGTCATGCATGGTGCTAATGGCTGTGAGATGCTTTTAAAACAATAAGATAATGGGGGTCCCTGTGGGGGGGGCATCTGTGGCAGATTTCTACATGTATGACGGTGCATGTTTGTTAAAAAAAACAACAACATTCTTTCCTTTCTTTCTGTAAAGACGTGACAGGCCTGATTTGCAGAATTCTGCATTCATTTTTATTTAAATTTCCCACAGATTCTATCTCCATTCTCTCCAAAAATGCAGCTCAAGCCTTTTTTGGGTCATCAATTTACCACATCTAACTTTGGTGCTTCATTATTCAATCTGCCTTGTTAAAATCCTCCTCGTATCCCGCAAATGCGACAAAAATCTATGGCGAAATCAGGTTTTTTCTGTCCAAATCAAGTCGTCTCTCCTTTAAAACGGGGGGTTGGGGGGGGGGGGGGGGGTTTGGCTGGACTGAGGAGGCGATGTTCACATGCATGCATTAACCGCATTAGAGGCAGTCTATCATGGAGCCCTGAGGTTTGCAACCGATCCCTAATCTCCAACCCAGAGCTCGTGTTTCTCTGCGCTTTCCCTGCAATTAGAGGCAGTCCCTGTTCTTATCTAGCAGGCCTTCCTCCTTATTTACAGACCCACATTTAAAACGGGGGACGAAAAAAGACACAGGAAGTGGCTTTTTTTTCTCTTCTTAGTGACGGGGATTTATCCCTGCTGTCTGTTCTCTGAGCTCAAACTGAGCCGGGGAAAAAAAGCAGTTTTCATCACTGCTGCTTTGCTTTAAAAAAGAAAAGGAAAAAATCATTAAAAAAATAAGCTGATCATAGTTACTTACAGTACTTGACATCATCTTTATGCCACTTAAAGGCCCTGACTACATGTTGTTAACAGTTATCTGAGCTCAGTTCGGGCATCTTTCTTTCAGTTTAAAGAAAAAATACATATAATAATGTGTAAAAATCCCCTTTAGTGTGAGAGCAGACGGTTTAACAGAACTCTGGAGTTCTGGCTCCATCCAACAACTTTTCCTTTGAATTTCTTTTCTTTTTTTTTCAAACTTTGTCTATTTGGTTTTTAACAAGAATTGCATTGCCATACATTTACAATGTGATGCATATAAAACAAACCATACAATTCCCTTGAGTTATAAGAACAAAACAAAAAACACAACAAAACGACCTCCGATCACTCCCAGGCAATAAGAAAAAGTCATAAGAAAAAGA